ATAGTTTTAGTAACATCGTTACTGTTATTGAAAGTTTAAATTAATTACTAAGTGATTGAATATGTTTTATTTAGAATATTAAATAAATTATAAAACTTCATTTATTGAACTGAAATCCATAAAGAAAGAGATACTGTGTGCATACCACTGATAGGAAATATATTTTGTTGCAAACTGACAAGGCATAGAAAGACATTGAAATACAAGACTGGATAAATTATTTTGTCCTATTGTGAGGACATTGTATGAATGCGCATCCCTTTCGTGGGGTCAAATTTAAGATTAATAAGTTATAAAGTAATTATGATGCTTGTATATTACTTATTTGAGATCCAATTATTCATATTATCAACTTCATTCCAAAGTCCAATGTAACGATCGTCATTCAATGTAACCGATGTGAACTGTCTAGTTCTTTGTGTATACGTATAAAAATATCAAAGCTGTTACGATTATTACTGACTGGTACTTGGAATAAGAAAAAATCGACATTTGCATGGCATAAGGTAAAAGATAAAAACTGATGTAAGTGGAAGATTTTATTTACCGTTTAAGAAGTAGTAACAAGTTATCAACTAAATACACTTATATACACATCATACTAAGATTTAATGATTAATTGATGAAGATTAATTAAATGAAATAGTGATAACATAAAATGAATTTTTGTTGAAATAAGAAGTGAATGCCAAATGTCATTACCGCAGTAGCAATACACTAAACGAATATTAAAGAATGTGATGTTCATCAAATATTACGCATATATCACACTGAATTCGAACATGGCCTCAAGTTTTATCAAGGCCTAACTATATGTATTTAAACAGAATAAATATATATTAATCATTTATGTAACCAAGTCTTGAATATATAAAGCTTTTTAATTAAAGAAGTTTATTTGATTTAATTCAATCTAGTGTATATAAGCCTGTGATATCTAATTATGATGATCAGTAACAGATAAGTAAAATATATCACATTCCCACAAAGAAATCCGTCACAGCTCGAACAAATCAATAGTAACATTCGTGACAGTAACACTACACAAAATGTAGTTCAGTTCTATAGTAAAGTAACATCCGACCTTTCTGGATTACAGATATGCCTAAACGAAAAAATCTCTGACTGCTTGCCACCTCCAACCACCGTACGTGTACGTATTCAAGTGTAATCCGAAAGGAAACGGTTAATGCTACAGAATGGGGCTACAGCAATATACTAATACTTTATTATAAAAGCGAATTCTAACAAATAAATAATGTAGTGAAATATTCATTAAAAGATACATAAGAAAAGCTTACTACACATCATTTTGCCTATACATTAATAGAGAAAAAAAGTAATTTCTTGCATACATGTATCTCAACCTTAGTCCTTGATCAAGAACGTGAATAAAACATAACAAGATTTGTAGTGAAAATTATTGTGAATCAGTACAATATCAGTTGTTGTATAACTGAAGAGTAAGCAATCACACACACACGATTTATTCAGCCAAATATCACTGCAGATTTTATCAAAATAACAATTATTGTTTAAAAAATAAATTGAACACACCTGATGTAGACCAAATCAAAACGGAACCAAAATATTCAGGTTTTCTTTCATTACAGGTTAAAGCTGTTTGAAATTACTAACAAACAACTAAATGTGAGGTTACATGATTGTGAAAAATAGGCTTGTTTTCAAAATACTTGAAAGTAAAACACCAACGTAGAAACAAATATATTAATTCATTCTGACAATAATTGCACAAGTCGATGTATCGATGTATCTATTAACCGACTTAGAAAATAATCAAATATGATGATTTATAAGTGAAATTTTGAGTCTGTGAAGTCATGATTTTAAAAAGTCGTAAAAACTCGTTCTACTGATGATTTCAGTGAATCAATGAACGATGTCCTGAACTAAATGCATGAAAATACATCTCACACAATCGATTTTTGAACCAGGTATCTAGAATTGCACACCTACACATATTTATCATGATATCTAATGAGACTTGGCAACTGAAAGTATTTTAGGTCAATCAAATAATGAGAGACAGTAATGCAGATTAAGCTACATACTGAATTTGTTTTGTGTTTTCAGGTGTTTTTCAAATCAATTTGTATTCACGACATTACTTAACAACTGATGAAGTGTTAAGGAACTCTGAACTTCATTTGATATGAAATGATTAGAGTTGTGTTGAACGAAGTGGGATGTGATGGATTTAATCTGTGTGGTTCCAAACCTGTGTTGTGTATTTTATTTTTATTTATTAGAGTGTGATTGGCAATGGACTCTGAGTAGAAATGTCGTCGATTCGATGTAAATAATGCGAGTTTTATGAAACCTTTCCGAAGCAAATATTCACATTCTGTCACGCTTAATACACAATAATCTTAATGTCTTTACACTGACTGATTAAACAAACTTACTAGCAAATGTGAAGATCTTTCCCTAGTATATTAAATGTCCATATGAATTTCAGTAATTTAAAGAGGTGTCGTATCTTTCAAACGGCTATTATTTAGTGTTAGTTCGATCGTCAGATTGAGACAAAACCTGGATGTTTTAATAAAAGTTCAGCATAAACGAATATACATGTCATTATCACATATTTTCAGTCATACCTCCAATTTTGTGTGTCTATATTCTACGGCTATCCCATAGACCATGAATAGGATGTTTGAACTTTCCAACATGAGTTATTGTAAACGTTCATGAACTGATACCATAGATGTGACTACACTTTGTCTATTCTTATTTTGATCAGTTTTTCACATCGGGGAAAAAACTGATTAAATATGCGTTATAGATATTTTGACGCAAGTTCGTAACTTCACTTATTGATTTACTCATTAAAATTACTGAATAGTTTAGAACAGTTTTTGTTAGTTAATTTAGGAAATACAATTAATAGTGTAAAATTATTTATATTGGAGTTATCAAGACCGCTATTCATATAAACTGAAAAAGAACATCAAGATTATCTCTCATTGTTGACCAAAAGGAAGCACCAAGTAGTTTTTTCCTAGAACATGTAGTTGATATTGCCCATCGTCTCGATACCATGTTAACTTTCAAAATTAGAATTCTGTTGAACTTGCTTCATGTGTTTAGAATTCGCCTCTTACATACAACAGAACATATAGGAATATACATAAATAAACGTAGTCACTGTGTACAGAAAATGCTTTGTGAGGTATTTTGATCTACTTTGACCTTTTATTTAATTCTGCCTACACTTCTCAATTTCTATATTTCGAGCTTACACAATTCCTTTTTTCTTTATTCTTACCTAACTAGTCGTAGCAACTGATTCATTATGTAATCTTGTTTTCAATTAAGCTGTCATTAGTTGACTTACTAACTGATCACTAGTTTCTAAACAGATTCTAGGAAATTCATTAAAAAAACTAATCTACTACTAATTAATATTTGATATTGATTTATCTTTAAGATGATAAATATTTTTATTACGGCAGAGACTTTGACAAGAAACTAGTTAGAGAAAAACATGTTTTTCTTCACATAATTTAGACCTTTTTAATATACTAACAAAACTATTTAACTTCAAGTATGTATCATCATTAAATGTGTTTCCTAAGCTACTCTAATCTTATTTTACTTAGTAAAATAAGCAGATAAATCTATTAGAAACTCAAAATTAATTAATCATAGATGAGAAAAAGAAAAATCACTAGTCAATAATCTAAATATTAAAAATTGATAACAACATTGAAACTATGGTTTTGTTGGGACTGATTAGACAGGAATATCATAATTTGAACAATACATCATAGATATATATATATGATTGTTTTTATAATTAAAGTAAATTCAAGATCAAGTTTTAATGGTATTAACCAATTTATTGTTGCAGTTGTCAACATTTACCTTTTTTTGGTTAGGCAGTAATGCTTTAGACAAGTAAATCTGTATTGGTTTAATAAAACTATATTGTGTGAGTGTATAATAAAAACTTTTTTGAAGAAAGAAAACTCTTATTTAGTACAAATATACTTGTGAATGTACGATGATAAAAATGTCATTTTTACATGAGTTTGTGGTTAACCGCTAAAAAGCTATAATTAAAATGATAGTATTATAAAATTAGAAGAAATATATTTTAACTGGGTTTAAGTCTCACACGCGTTTGTGTAAAACTGAGTGTGCTAGGTTCGAGTCCTGCGTGTGAGATCGTGGCTGAGTATTGCTGAGGTGACTCATACTAATACGAAATGGTTATCTAGTGCTTTTACGTTTTCGATGGCAGTCTATGATTGATTGGTTGATGATTTCAATGGAATTTACCAATCGCTGTAAATGCTTACTGATAAAAGACTTTTTTATTGGGTTTAAGTAATTTTACTCGGAGGTAAATTTTCAGAGATAGAATTCTCGGGTTTATTTTTTCTAATCTACACGTTACATTTAAACAAATTGACACTGTCATATAAATTGTATTATTCCATTCTAAGATGAGACCAATTTATCACAAATAAAAAATAACCGCATGAAGAATTACATGATCTTCAATAAAATATTACTATTTTAATTAAACAAGCAATGTTTAAGAGTCTTAATAGTGTTATATATTCTGAGTGGATTATCACAAAGTTGTAAGTATTTAGTAATTATAGCAAAATTATCTTCAAATATGTATAACTTGCCTAAATCGTGTTTTATGAATCATAAAAGAGATAATAGGGATATATAGACATTTTCCTGCTCTGAATTTGTGATCTTTAGGAAGGATGTTTTCTGAAAATCGATTCACTTTAAAGACAATGATCACAATCAATCGAACTTATTGATAGAACCATTGTAAGCGGAGAAAGGATTTCTGTATGCTCTTTTTTTAGCATACCCTGGGTTAAATCTGATTTAAACCATTATTTAATGCTTAAGTGGGTCTGTTAAAATTTGATAATTGGTTTCAGTCCAGCAAATTATAATAATGAATTATGATAATTTGACATTGAAATTTAGTTCACTTTAATACTTACTGATTTGTTCGATCATAGTCTGGTGCTAAAGCAGTAGTAACAATTAATTTACCGTCAGGTCCACATAAATAGTTGACACGTTTTTTGGAATGATTATTATTTGATTTACCATCATCAGTATTTTCTTTGTTTAAACCATTGTTTTCTGAAAAAAAGGGAAAATGAAAAAGAATTAACATAATCCAATTAAGTAATTACATAAAGTGAATTAACGTCCGTGAAACTGTACTTTGCAAACAAACCAATCAGTTTCAAGATGGTACCATTCGGATGTCTGCACAAATTTTAAAATTTAATTATGGATAAACAGCAAATAATTAAGTCATAATGCAAGAACTGAATAAAATTGTGAGACCTTAAGGTCTTGGGTTCAATTTCCTGTAAGGTTGTGGATGTACAACCCTGTAATCTTGATAACTTTCATGATTTTTACACACCTTTATATTGATAATTGAAACGATTGTGAGCATTTCCTAAGATAATGATGAGAAAATTATTAATTTGACAGCGGAAAATATAACTTTCTTTCAAAGTAGCTTAAACAATTTAAGTTTTCAATTCAATGAACTATCTGCAATAATGGCTGCAAAGCATTGCTTCATTATAATCGCAGACCTTACTCTAATTTGAATCTTCATAACAATGTCAACCATTTAAGTAGTTTTTATGAGTTCCATTTTTTTATTTCTGCAATAAATTATTTATTCATAACATATACACTTTGATTGTCTAATAAATCATTGAAATTCCTCAGGGTGGCTTGCAGAATCATCCAAGGTTATGCATAAAGTATAGTACCGGCACACGAAAGACTGTGATTTGTTTGACGGAAGGAAGAAAACTGAGACTACAGACTGTCTGTTATACACCATAAATAATTCAGAACTATATCTAAATAGAACCGGTTATACCTGGATTATTTATGTAATCATTAATCAAATATGAATACACTGAGTTAGACAATACTTGATGTTGGTTAATTAGTTACAATTTACATTAGCAATAAAATAAATTGCTCTGATTAAAAAATATAGGTCAATTACAGTGCTACTTATCTACTCCTTTATAACATTTACAAATTTTAGTACAGAAAAAGAATAAATATAAGTTCCTTTATTTCCTGAATGCATTACAGAGGGTTTGATAACCTTAAAAATATATATACATTAATTAGTTGAGTATAAATATAAGATACACTGTACACTGTATTTCATAATGGCAGGAAACTATTGATCACAATTGATAAATTAAAAAAACATTCTCTTAGGATGGATACCTGAGTTGTACTAAGAAAAAGGATAAGAAAGATTTCAATTGAATTTTAAAGAGAGAATCGAAGACAGAAAATAACATGGCTTTCAACAGAGTATTAGATGGTTATTATCACAGACGAATATCAGCACATGAACTATGGCAAATTTATTTAAGTATTCAATTGTATAATATCTCATTTTATGCCCATTTCCTAAAACATATATATATGAAATCAAGATTTTCTCAGTTGCATTTAAGTTATACCTATTGTCTTTAACACAATACTCTGTAATGTTTTATCTACTGACGATCATCTGTACCTAGAAGACTTATTTTATTTTCTAGAGTTTTTACGTTTGTAAGATCATTCTCCATTATTCATTTGAAAAGTTCTGAATAACTCATTTATCGATTCCAGGTAAAAGTAATCAACTTGGGATCATATTGTATGTACTACCAAACTGTTCATTTCAAATTATGTAAAGTGAAGTACAAACCTTTGTAATATTGTTTACGATTTTGCTATTTTAATAACTCTTAACTTGTAATAATACTTTCACGATTTTATCTTCAGAATACAAACAAATTTCAATGCATAACGATTTATTAAAATTGGTTCTTGTTGGACATTTAATCAAATAAGGAAGGGTATTTACACTAGACATTTGATTGTTGAAGTTATATTGGTTGCAACATTAAACACACTCTCGGCATAATAATAGACTTTTTATAAAAAGAACAATAAGAACGGAAGTTCAATTATCTGACCAAGTAATTAATATTGTTAGTAAATGTAATACTTAAAACAATTACTAATCAAATACCTTTGAATGACCTTTTTCAATCTTTGTATTTTCAACAAAGATTTCAACTTTATTCGTTAGTTTTCTTTTCTCGCTTACATACAGTGTTAATAATGTAGATATAAAAGTACAATGAAACAATTTATTTTATGGGAAACTACTTAACAGAAAAAATTTTTTCTGAAAAAAGTTGTTCATAATCCATTGATCAACAAATCATATGGTTACTGTAAAAGAAAACTTATGTATCTTGATGTTTGCAGAACAAAATGCATTCAGTAATGAAAAAAATTCATAATTATGGTTATTATCATAATATATCAGTTTGAATTGTTATAAATTCACAAAAAAAAATCAAAAGAAATCAAAATTAAAATGGATAATAAATAGTATATGAGAAACAAATTAGAAAACAATATGATCCACAGGTTCAGAGTTTAAATTCAATGTACTATTATATATAACTTGGATCAACGTCAATAAAAAAAGTACCAGAAATGTTACAGTTAATTAGTAATTTTAAAAAGTAAATTGTTTTATTACCTATTAACATATCACTAACTTTATGAGAAAAATAGTTCAGCTGACTTTTGTAAACAATGTATATTATGCTATTCATTAACTAAATACTCATATAACATTGAAAACCCTTCAAACTTTCGATTTTTCTCAAATTGTCATTGAATAGATAGCATGTAATTCTCTCAAGTAATCTCAATCTCACAGGTGGAATATAGATAAATAAGATTCGGAAATATGCTTATTAACATAAGTCAATGGTTAAGCAAATTTATTAACATTGAGTGTAATGGTAATACTTGGTCTTTTATTACTGATTATAAATAATAGATTATATTGTCAACATGGTGTCTGTTGTACGGAGTCTAAAGCCAGGTGTTCATAAACCTTGAACCCGTATTCAGCGTAAATGTATTTACAAGTATTTGTGATTGTTATGATAACACTAATTACCAATTTTCTCCTTAACTAATACACTTGCAAAAAGTAATCGTTTTCAGTCATTACATTTTTATATTGTTTATTCAATTAGTATACAATTCGTACCATAACCCTTCTTTAGCACAAAAAGGGAAAATGACCCTGAAAGCTATAACAGCACTATTAATTTCGATTATTTAAAATAGTTTTAGGTTATTGGGTACCCACCCTTTTATTTAAAACTGACACATTATTCTGATTGTTTATATTATGAAAATTATGATTAATGGTTCCTAATCATTACATCAAAAGTATGAAAAAGTAAGAAACATCAAAATGTTTGTTCAGTCGGCTACAACGTAGGGCCAGACACATATATGTATTGGTCCTACTTGCCACACTTCATTAGCACAACAAGATGAACACCGAATTCATAGAAGTAGTTAATTCAATTGTACTAATATATAAAAGAATGATTGCATATAACGATATAGTACAGGAAGAAAGAATTAATTCGTAGAAAGAAAGACATAAAGCAGTTTCAATCTCATGGTTTAAGGGAGAGAGTGTATACACCCATGCCGTTGTGATCGATTCTGAGCCAAGTCCACCACAGTTTCCAACCATTGGTTACAATAGTTGCGTGGACCCCAAACAAGTAGTCTACATCTATTAACATGGCACAGCCTAAATTAAGTGACTTTATAAATTGACGCCACTTTTTAGTTTAGCCGCTCCTAACTTTCTTCCATCCGTCTCCAACTGTGTTTTGTTTTATTGTAATAGAGGACTGTATTTCCTTCTCATATGTATTAGAAAGTAAACAGTTTAGGTATTTGCAATGATCCTTATTTAAAATAACAGCTTAAATATATTTTTGTGAACAAATTTCACTTGACTAATATTTTCATTGCAAAGATTATGTAAATGCTACATACCACGCAAATTCTCTTACCTAATTAAATGGTTTTTCATTCATAGTGTATGCTTGCAACAGTAAGTCTAAATGCCTACTGTTCCTAAATACACTTACAAGGTAAAAGTAACTGAATCAGTTAGACTATATATTATAGTTATTAAAGGATCTATTGATACAATACCATCTATTACTGTGTTAAAACAACGAAGTAAAGTTTTATTTATCGACAATTTGAATAAGAGACAGATTGTAGCCAACCTTTACATCTGTCACTCAATTGTCACGTTGAAAAGTAATTGTAGTAATGAATCAGATTATTTGATTATATTCTATCCAGACAAAGTAATGAAAACACATTAGTTGTAGATAACTATGCTGTTTTTAATGGTTACATACTCCTAACTAATCACAATAACAACAATAAAGAAAAGGAAACTTGTTGAAATACCTTGTGCTCAGAATTCTATATCGTACCGAAAATATAATATTAAATAAAACCACTAATGATGAGGAAAAAATGAATGAAAAGATGACAATAAACACTAAGTGAAAGCGTTTCTTAACTTATCTGTATAAAACGTGATTAAAACTGTATACCTGTTATCTATTTCGTCTGTTAGGTAGAGAAATGAACTATAGTATTATTAATGGTTATTAATTCAAGCTAAATAATTGGAAAAGAATGTAGAACATAGAATTCAGACAAAAATAAATAAATAAATGCCAATCTCAACAAAACGGTTAGTTTCTTTTCTTTCTAAAGTCATTCTAAATGATGATCGTATAAAAAGACGTGAAGAAAAATAGTAAAAGAAAACTGTCAACAACTATTGATAAGCATACTAGACAGTACAACTTTATGTAACGGTAATATTTATGTAATGGTAAGTGAACAATAATAGTACTCAAAAATCATTATGCGAAACTCCATGTGTTTTCTTTATATAATGGATGTGAGGTAGTTTCTTGTAACGTAAACATTCTGATCACCTTTACATGGTTTAATAAAGTTTTATAACTGTCTATGTTTAGGCAGTTTAGATAATAGTCTCGTGGACATATATATAAATATAGTTATGAGACTTCGTTTCTGGAGATCAATTTCAACTTTATCAAACCAATTACTGTATGCTCACTAATGATTTCATTTAAATGAATTCCTGAAATCCTGATAGGTAAGAGTGAACGGTGAAGTTCAGACATATTTATGAATGAAACACAAGTCTTTAA